CCCCCCCCCTCAAAATGACAGAGGTTTTTTCTTTTTGCATTTGCCTGTGTGTTTGTTTGTTATTGTTATCCAATGAAATGAATAGAGACAGACTGCCTTACCTACAGTAAAAATTTGAACTCATGGAAAATTTGAAGCATTTTAAACTTCTACTGTGGTTCTCTGCTCTTGTTGTGATAGTACATGAATGTATAGTCTTCAACTGCAGTTTTATTTCATTACTTTGTTTTGCTGTGAAGTGAATGCTAAGTGGAGCCTGTGGAGTAGTTTGCTTTGTCTTCTTCTTTTCAGTTTTCACCATTATCCTGACCAACTTTGTGGAAAAAATTAAGCTGCTATTGTGCCAACTCATTGTAAACTAATATTGAATCAAATAATGTGTAAAACACATATAGAGCTTGCTGTTGACAGGAAATTAAACTACAATTTATGATTCTCACTTCGGAATTTTAATATTTCAGATTTCTGAAGTCCGCACTGCAAACAAGTGAAAACCTCAGGACATTTACATCCACTGACAAAAACAAGTGGGTAGAAGCAGGGAAGATAACTCTGTCACTTTTGGAAACTGCTGGCAGTTTCTCCAAATCAGTTGTATTGTCCCCCCCAGCTCCTGTCTGAACAACTCAAAAGCACAAGAGTCGTGATCGTGATACAAAGGCAAGGGCAGACCATACCTCCCTAGTTTTACGCTTTTTGCATAATTATTGCACAAAAACGGCCCTAATTATGAAAGTAGGCTGATGCAAATGTAGGGAAAATTACACTTTTTTCCCACCCACAAACTCGCCGGGTTGATGTCTGTAAAATGCTAATTAATTGCGCCAAATGACGGCGCAGGCTTGGACGCGGCTTGTCACCGGACTGATTTGGAATGATCTCCCGTTCACTTTGCAGTGCTGAGCTCATGTGTGATAGGCCCACTAGCAACATCCGGATCAGGCCTCTTTTTAATGAGTACGCGAAATTTGCCCAAGTCCTCTGAGATCATTGCAATGCGTATGATTACACTTTTTTGTCTCAAATTATGCAAAATCATCTTTTCTTTTACCCATTTTTGGATCTTGAACTAGGGAAATATGGCTGACTACGCAAAACTTGGCTTAGTGGCCTTAACAGTCCTCCAACAGAATGACATGTCAACAACAGAAGCCACCCACCTAGCTGTTGACAGAAAATTGCACTTCCCCTTGACATTTAACAATACATACAAGAGAAAGGATAAAGAGAAAGAAAGTACTCATGTCTGAGTCTGAAGTGAGGCAGTGGACATTGATGTCACATGTAAAACTTTTGTTTGTTTGTCTGTTATCAGTAAATGCATTGGCCGTTTTGGGAATAAAATACAGTCACCAGGGCTTTTTTTGCTTGTGATTGAGAAATGAATGATTAAAAAGAAAGAAGAATAATCACTCATATTTTTTTGGGGGGTATCATATTTGCATGCTTAAATTGTGCAACAAGATTGCTTGTTATTTGTTATTACCATACTTCTTGTTATTATTGAAGTAAAATATTTATATATTTTTCATTTGTTCAAAATACCTGGTGGTCAAATTGTGATACCATTTTTATGACAGATGTTCAACTGTATTTGTCTTTGTTGAAGTTTAATGTTCCACTTGACACTCAAATCTTTAGCTACCGTCATCTGTGGTATAGTGGTTAACTTTATCCATACGCCCTGGGGTTATTTTGTACCCTCGGGGTTTTATTCTTCACATTTTAGAATACTTCTAGTGCGAAGATTTCTTTTAAACTTTCAGTATTTCTCTAAAAATCATTTTGACAGTCTGCTATGCAAAGGGTACGGTTCGGATTGACGAGTAAATTCCCTCTGTGGAAAATGGTGGCACAGAGTTCTACACGTCGTATGGATATGATAGTGAAACATGATGTACGGATAGGGTTAAGCAATTTTCCATAGCATGCAAGGGACATAAGTTCAATACCTGACTGGGGAAAATTTGTATTGAGTGTCTTTGATTTCCTCCTTTGGTGCTGTTTCCCTCTCAGCCTGGGTTGGCTGGGACAGGCAGGTTTGAGTTTGAAGCAATCCACTTCCTAAATGATCCTGATTGTGTAGATGGAGACCTGAAACTTCGACAATTACTTTTGAGGAGTCCACAGGAAAAACAGGGGTAGTCACAAACTGGAAATTGTGAGGGTGTCAATTTTGAAAGCTTGTGGACTCGTAACTTCAAATTTGTTTGACTGATGGTTTATTGTTATGTTTGTTGAATAGAAAACAACAATTTATAATCGACCAACATTCGAATAGAAATACAGTTACGAGTCAACAAGCGTTCAAAATTGACAACCTCATAATTTTCAGTTTGTGACCAACCCCGTTTTTCCAGTGAACTCCTCATTTGCATTACATTGGAACTCGGAATAACAAAATCGTCGAGCCCGACCTTCAATTTAGTTGAACCCGAGTGTTTGCTATAGCAATGTGAGCAACATCATTTGTTTCCATTTCCACAGACTCCTGCACAATGCATTATACAGTTCTATATCCAGGCTAGCTTTTAATTATTCAGTAGCTGGGTGGAAGGGGGGGGGGGA